ATTCAAATTAAGAGATAATAAAGTATCTATCAACCTATAATCAAAAAAAAAATATTCAATTTGAGTGTAGTAAAAGAAAAAATGTGAAAAAAAACATTATTTTTTCTGAAAGTCTTGTTTGCTTTCAAGTCTGGGTGTTTTCTCACGGCTCTCTAATGTCGTCGCCATAGCGCCTTCTACATTCTTTCCTGCAACTCGTTTAGCAGTGGCAGCCAGCAATTGGATATGTCTTTCCGTTCCTTGGATGTGTAAAGGAATTTGTGGATCATCGAATGGTGGCTCTTCGTAATTTAAATATCCCTCCAAATGTTCATACGAATGACTTTGCGTAAACGGTGGTTCGAATAAAATGGTATCGTCATTTAAATCAATCATATTTGTATATTCCGTACAATTAAAGTTTATAAGAGGTTTTTTATAAACTCTAAGTTCCGTTGGGTCGACAATATCTCTTCGGTAATGTAAAATCTTCTTGATAGCAATGTTTCGTTTTTCCATTCTATCATCGAACAACATAGATAGCAAGATATTTTCTGAGTGTGCAAAATATGCATTATCTTGAATTACTGTATTTACAACTTGACGTAAATTCGATGGTAAAAATCGGGTCCAAGTAATAAATTTAAAAAGTAATGTACTACCGTATACGGCAGAGCTATAATACTTAACATTGAAATACATTGGCGTGTATACTTTTATTATATAGTTAGCCAGAATTTTTAAATTTTGAGTTGGATTATTAGTTGTCACATACAACCGTAATAATCTATTGGCCTTGGTGAGCCAACGAGAATGTGCAATTCCTCCTGGTTTGTTGTTGGCCAAATCCGCCGGAATCTCACCATTAGAAATCGCACGGGCCATTTGGTATAAGTATTTCGCATCGGTAGATAATTCATCTACATTTTTTTCACCAGGAGGCATATTTTCCAAAGCGATTTGCTCAAAATCGATTACCGCCTGAAAATAAAACATAAAAGCTAATAAATAGAATGGAAAATGGTAAAGAATAAGCTATAAAAATTACATACCGGAAGCTTTTCACAATCAGCAATTTTTGAGCTCAACTTTCCGGTAGTTGATCGTGGTCCAGTGGTGGTTGATTTGTCTAAAGTGTCAAACAAATGTCTGAACGGAAGCTCGTTAAAGTGCAGAAGACACACAAACCAGTGCAGTGGTCTCTTTAACAGTTTTTCGAATAGTCGCAAAACTCCACCGTGTACGCCAGCATTTGTTGGTTCACCATCAGAGCATATGGCAATTAATGAATCGAGAGACAGTTGTTTTTCTTGGAAGAATTCGATCAATTTGTTGACTTTGCTTTCCGCAGTTTCACTTTCTACTTTTGTGTAGCCTATCAATTGAGAATTTGGTTCCCTCAAAACAACTAGATGAGGTTCTTTAACCATCCTTGGATGCAACTTCTCATCAATTTTTTCTAAAGTTAGAGCATCATTTTTTCTGCCGTCGAATGAAAATGATATCAAATTCGAGCCATCATACCGCTTACGAAGTGCATCTTGTCTCCATTTTTCTCTTTCTCTACGAAGTTTACTTTTATCCATGATGACAAGATTGTCATGAGCATCTTTTACGCCCAGGTCTTCCATCAGAGCTGTTGCCAATGCTGATCCCATTCTATCATGCACACCAAATCTGTCACACATCATTGCATAGTTTTTAGTATTGTATCTGTGAGTGTATGTTTGTGGTGATAGAACTAATTCTGAAACTCCTCTCACATCAACTTCCATTTCGTCATCATCTGGTGTGTATGTAGGATCGTTGCTCACTGGGATTGTTGGTATAATTAAATTTGTTTTTCATAGAATAATAATATAACTATTAACTATAATAGTAAGCAATGTTTTTACACTTACCTTTAAATCTTTTCTAAATTTCAAAATAGTTTGATTATTTGTTAGTTATTTCAAGTAACACTTCACTGAAATGACGCTCAAACAAAACTAGCATACACTGCAATATTATATGCTTTTTTTCATATACGCACCAATACATTGTCACACACTGGCATCGTCTCTGTTGTGTTGAATGTATTGTGAATTGCGCGCTCAACAACGTGCTCAAAACATTCAACACAACAGAGACGATGCCAGTGTGTGACAATGTATTGGT